ACATGTTAAATTAAGATAATTAATTCTACGATGTAACATAATAATTTGTAACTCGTAACATGATATTATCTAACGTTCAATTAATATAATTTGTAACTCATAACACGATCACGATAATATCTAACGTCCAATTTATATTATAATAAACATGTAACACAATAACTTGTAACTCTTAACACGATACTATCTAACGTCAATTTATAACATAACTAAAACTAATATATAATGTAATAATTTCTAACTCGTAACACGATAATATCTAAACGTCCAATTTATATTATAATAAACATGTAACATAATAATTTGTAACTCCTAACACGATAAACGTCCAATTTATATTATAATCAACATGTAACATAATAATTTGTAACTCCTAACACGATAAACGTCCAATTTATATCATAATCAAGTCTAAAAAGTAACATAATAATTTAAACATAATAATATAGCCCAATTTATAACATAATTATTTCGAATAATAACATAATAAATAAAAATAAAAATAAAAATAAAAAAAAAAATAATTGCCGGCCGGCCGGCCGAACCGGACGGACCGGTTCCGACCAGCCGTCGGTTCCAAACGGCTTTCTTGCCATCCGGCCGGCCTGTCCGGACACGGCCGGTCCGACCGGCCATGCTTTCCGGACGGTCTTTGAACCGTCCGGACGCCGGTTCCGGACGGTCTTTAAGCCGTCCGGACGCCGGTTCCGGACGGACTTTAAGCTGTCCGGAACCGGCGGCCGGACACGTATTTTTTCATAAATTGTCTGATATGTTTAGAAAAAATGAGAAGGGCAAAATTGTCCAAGGGGGGCGGTGAGTAGTAAAAGGGGGGGCGGTGAATAGTAACACCAAGGGTACATGCACATTAATGATCTTATCCATGGTGCAACTTGTTTTCATCAGAACCTTTACAACATCCAACAATTCGCATTAAATTAAAGCACTATCAATAAATTCTTATATCTTGAAAATTAAATATATATGATTAGTTATATAGTTCCATTCGTTACGGAATTGTTTTATATAGCTATTAACTTAGTTCATGTTTTCAAGCACTGAGGTCATTGAGAAGCTAATATTAAGTTGGAGGTTACAAGATGACCTAACAATATTATAATGCATTTTAGGTCGAGTTGATCGATCTAAGAGGAGCGTGAAATTCAGAAGGATGATTCTATATATAGAGAGAAAGATTTACGTGAAAAATGAACGGAAACCTATACAAAGAAGAAGAGAAGATAAGATTTTCGTAGATTTAATTAGTGTGTTCGGCATGAGGAAGAACAATACTTTATCTATTTTGTCGATGACCCATGGGATGATATTCTGCCAAAATATTATAGGGAGCATAATTGCACGTATTTGCTCATTATTTTTGCATACTCGACAATTTTGACCGATCCCAAGGGCGACTTGTAGTCTCGACTGACCTTGATGGTTTATCTCGAAACTCCTTCGCAGAGTTTTTCTTCATGGATCATTGCTTGGTTTGGCCCCCGAACATGTAATAGCAACTCGAGTAGGCGGTCAACATGTTGAGCGATTAAGATCGGGCATAACTCAGCGACCGCCCAAAAATTATGTCCCAATCGCCGAGTTGACTGATTTCAAAACCGGAGGACAAGATCCAGCCATGGACTATTTGATAGGTCCTTGCCATACTTGCCCCCAGGCCTCCGGCTATCAAGGAAGCCGTCGGTACTTTAGATTGAAGACTACACCCTCGACGTTCTTGTCGAGACTGAGCTAATCCATCTGTATTCTTGTTGAAGGTGGACTAATATAGATTTTTGCCACAGTGCATCGATCTGGAGTTTTTCGCATCGTGAAGAGACCAAAGGGAAATATTTGGACACCTTTAAGGAGTTTTTTATTTCGAGTAATGAGGTAATCGATGACGGAGAAGTCGGTTGAACCGCCATTTCTTCCGGCCGATAATAAGGATGCACTGCCCTTCATTTGACAAGGATGAGGAGTGTGTATAAAGTGGAAGAGAGAAAGCATATGTGAAAAATCTTAATGGGGAATGGCATTATATAAGGATGAGGTCCAGATGTAATCCATAATGGTCGTCCTTCCTCTAGCGCCATTTTGTTGGCGATTGACCGCCAACGATTATTTATTAATATAAATCAACCAGTTTAATTGAGAGTTATGGTATAATTATGGTGCAATTAATTGTAATGAGTCTTGAAAAGATGTGAACATATTTGGAAAAATAACTATGCTCGAAAATAGAACAAGACACCGATGTTGCCGATCGACTGTGGCGATCGGCAAGGAGAATGGTTCTCAAAAATTTTTATTGAGGAACTGTATAGTCGTGTGTTACAACCATAGGAGGAGGGAATTTTGTGAGATCTTGGTTGTTGTTTTAGGTCCAGGTTGATATTTATACACAAAAAGGTGAAAAAAGTATTATATGCTCGGTGCCAGCTAGGGTTATAGGGTACCGTTGCGTCTATCCATGCAAAACCATTCTTTTGAGGATGAGACAGATTGGCCAGTGCCATCAGCTTTATCAGTTTCGAGATTCAAACGAGGAAATATCGTTAATCTTCCTTGGGAAGTCACAGAGGATGATCGACAGGAACAAGTTGTCAACCAATCGGGTGATCGCGTAATCTAATATTAGGTTCTTGAGCCGTTCGCTGGATGGTCGGCATGCTTTACGGGCCGTCTGTCTGATGTGGGCCTAAATCCACACTTCGGCCATATCCTTGGTGGGTCCTATCTTTGGAGGATTTCTTAAGCACAATAGCACAAAAAATGGCTATATTTCATCTTTTCATTTGCTACTTGACAATAAAATTAAGACACTAAATATTGTTAACATAGTTAAACATAACATCATTACAGTATTACCTCTCATTAGAATTAAAAAACAACAATGTGACGAAAAGAGCAAGATTATTAACCACAAATAAAAAGACAAACAAAAATAAAAGAGCAATCTCCGGAAGAGACTACAATACTCTACAACGAAAGACTACACAGTCTCACATTCCGGGACTAACTAAACGAAGACAAAATACGAAAAAATATGCACAAAGCATATGAAAAAAAAATACAAACCCAACACACAAACATAAAAATATATACAATTAACTTTTCCCACTTTGAATAATTTACTGCCAACACCATGTCTACAAGCTCTCTATCTCTATCGAGCACCACAATCGGGCAAAACCATCATAGATCACGAGTACTATTCTAGCTACATTCCAGTGGCACATTCCTACTATAAAATTTAGTCAAAAACAAATCTAAAATGGACAAAAGCCCGAGTTAGATCTAAACTCAAAACTCAAAAAGATATGTTAGCCAATGGAGAGGAGGATTTGTTGTTGTTGGTTTTTTCTGTGGTTGGNAATTATTAAAATATGAGATTTTAATTTGCAAATATGCATGTTAAAAATATTATTGTTTATGATGGAAGGAACAACTAAAAAGATGTAAAAGAAAAAACGTCTGCTAATTACTTATTGCCTATATCCGCAACGCTGTATTATTATTTATTAGTTTCTTACTTATTGCATATATTATACCATTAAAAATGATTTTGTTATTCTTTTCGTATTAAAAATAAAAATTGATATACTATTATTCTTACTTATTGCGTATATTATTATTATTATTCACTATCCTATTTTTTGTAAAATAAACATTTCCAGGAAAAAGGAAAGCAAAATAAGCTGCAATAGTACAAGAAAACTGTGGTAATACTCTCGTAGTTGGAGATTTTCTAGGGGTGGGAAAAAAAACCGGATTTCCCGATTCCGAACCGGACCGAAATGGTTCCGTTCCGAAAATATAGGGTTTTAATCGGTTTTAAAAAAATTTGTACCGTTCCCGGTATCGAACCGGTTGAAACAATGTCGGTATCGGTTTTTAATATTTTTTCCCGAACCGTCCCGTTTGTCCCGTTTTATTTTTTTTTATTGTACAAAAATATTATATATATATATATATATATATATATTATACATTAATTTATATATATGTTAGTATTATATTTAATTATTTTTCAACTTGCAGTTGGTGTAATGGTGTTTTTGTTTTTGTTTCAATTCAATCTATATATAATAGTTTGCAACATAAATATAAATTTGTGTACAATGCAAAAATATTTTATGTTGGTGTCATTTGACGTTCAAAAAAAATAAATATATAATATTTTGTTTTGCAAATTTCCTAGTGTCATTTGACATTAAAAAAAACAAATATTTATGTGTGATATTTTTTTTTAACTTGCAGTTGGTGTAATGGTGTTTCAATTCAATCTATATATAATATTTTCTATTGCAAATTTATATTATACATTAATTTATACAATTTTTTTTTTAATGCAGAATGCTTCAATGCTTGATTGCAGTTTAATTAGTTGATTGCAACTTTAAATGGAATCAATGTTTTTTTTTTTCTTTAAGTGAAACAGGGAATAGTTTGAAGTTTGAACATTTTTTTTCCCTTTGTCCCGGTCCCGATTGATACCGATCTGTTTGGGATGGAGTGTCGTCTCGGATCGGTTCAAAAAACCGGGACAAGTACCGAGATAGGTCAAATCTCGGACCGTCCCGGACCGTGTCCACCCTAAGATCTTCATCTTCTTCCACCCCCACCAACTTCCACTTCCCTTTTCTATCACCCTATAATTACTAAAACCCTAATGCTTATTTAATTGTTTTCTTTAGATTTGTGTAGATTTTATAATTGAGTTGAAAAGAAGAAAGAAAAGGAAGATAGAGACTAAGGGGAAAATGCTGCCTGAGAGAGGCACCCAATGTGATCTGTTCCTTATGGGCAGAAATAAAATCCCATTAGCTTTTGGGGTTTTGTTGCTTTTTTTCTCGGTGAGAGAAAATGGGGTGAGCGCGTCGATCCATGAGTACAAGAACGAAGCTTTCATCCGTCGCTTCAATTCCTACTTCTTCCATGGCGGCAGTGAAGGCCTCTACGCGTCCAAGATCGTTGACCCGCCCAAAACAGCTGCTAACGATGATGGCAACAAGCCCCTCAATGGAAAATCATTCATCAGGTATCGAGAAATATTTCTTCGTCGTTTGTTGAAAGTTTTAATTCTTTTTTTTTTTTTGTCGGATTAAGTGCTGTTCAATGAAAAGCGTCTTTTGGGTTGATGGGGTTGTGTATATTGGCTTATTGTGTGTTAGTGTGTGCAGAGTGCTCGAATTAAGTGCTGTTTAATGAAAAATGATCTTTTGTATTATTTGGGTTGATGGGTTTCTGCTTGTTGTCTTGTTCTTTGTTGGTGTGTGCAGATGTGTTGTGTGAGGTTTTTCATTTGTTGATTCCCAATTTCAATGTTACTGTAAATGTTCATTTGTTTTGGGTTATATCTGATTTGTGGCTCTGGGAGGATACAGCCAAGCTTTCGGTAGGTCCATTGCAAATGGAGCTGGAAGAGTCATAGTTGACAATTCTCCTGGCATAGTGCTAATAATGGACTAGATCAAAATGTCTCAATTAAATTCTAGTGCTTCTTCTATTAGTGAGTGAAGTTTCTAGAAAAAAAAAAATATATATCAAACGGCGCAATGCACCTTGGGTCGCTACGGAAACAGCCTCCTCCTTGTATAATTACAAGGGTAAGGTCTGCATACAACTGACCCCCCAGACCCCAACCTGTTGGGAATATACTGGGTATGTTGTTGTTGTTGTTGTTGTTGTAAAGTTAGGGGCAAGTCTGCTACAAAATTAGTGCCAATTAGATTTTTACACGTTGAGCATATGGATGTAGGATATCTAGTGGGGTTGTGTTTATTGGCTTGTTACGTATTAGTGTGTGCAGAGTGCTCGGCTTGTTTTTTGGTGTGTTGTGTGAGGTTTTCATTTGTTGATTCCCAATTCTCATTGTTCTGTAAAATGTTAGTTTGTTTTGGGTTATATGAATTGTGGCTTTTGGTAGGTCCATAAGTTCAAAGTTAGGGGCATGTCTGCTAAAAAAATTAGTGGAAACGAGATTTTGACACGTTGAGCATCTGAATCTAGGATTACTAGTGGGACAATCTATATTTATACAAGTATCTGTCAATAGTGTATAAGTAGGCAGATGAGCAAAAACCGACAAGAGATTTGGGCATCGTGAAACATTTAGTATTCATTTGTTGCTGGTTTGAAGTGTTTCCTTTGAAGCTATATGTGGATGATACATTTGCATGCTTTCGATTATTTGAATCCAATTTTGGCAATTTGGTAAAAACTGTGTTAACTGATTACGTCACTGATACCTTAATTATAAGCTGTGATTTATGATATCAAAACCGTCAATCTCTCGTTGCTGTTCTGTTACTGGTCATGGTAAGATACATGCTCTCGTGAGTGTATCGATGGAAGTTTTGATTTTACAAAATGAAAAAGATTTGATATCATATTAAATTTCCATTACTGGTGACTTGTACGCTTGATAATTGAGTTGAATATTTATTAAGGTTGCACTGTTCCTTTTTTTTTTCTCTCTTTTAATCAAAATCTATATATTAAAACCACGCACTATGGGCAGGTATGCACTTTCCGTGCTGGCTAAATATTAATGACAAATTTGTCGAAATCCATTGAAATCATGATATTAATATTACATTAGTGATCCTGCAGTTTTTGGAGTTCTGCAGATAATGATCTTTCAACAAGTCTTCTTAAATATGAGATCTAATTTTTTTCTCATTATTCAGGTCTTTAGTTATGGTCAAATTTCAACATTTACCATCCATTAAACCAATCATTGAAAATATTTATTTTTTTACAAGTCTTTGCTTATGCGTTCTAAATCTGTTGAGAAATGAAACTGTGGCACTTTCTTCTCTTGTTAATCATGTACCCAAATTATTTTAACACGTTCGTTAGTTAAAAATCTTCCAAGATCCAGAAAAAAACACACACAGCTCTTCTTTAAGCCGTTTTTCTTCTTTCAGGTTTGAATCAATCACGTTTAGGAGACCAAAGGAAGTTGCAAGCAAGCAAAACCAAATGCAGCAAAGCACTGGAGTGGTTGAGACCATAATCGTCGAGGTCAAAGACAGTGACAAAATCGGGACAACTTACGGTAACTCAAATGCCATATGTTGCGACCCGGCTCTCGCCAAAGATGGGCTTTGCAAAGTCGGTGAGGTCATCATTCGGCAAAATCCCGAAAATCCAGAATGGCCCAAAAGGCTACAAACATCTTTCGAGGGAAATAACGAGGAAGCTAGCATGGTGCTTCAATCAGTCGAGATAAATAAAACGGGCATGTACTATCTGTACTTCATGATATGTGATCCAGAACTAAAGGGCACTTTAATTAGTGGAAGAACAGTGTGGAGAAATCCTGAAGGCTATTTACCGGGAAAAATGGCTCCTTTAATGACTTTTTACGGGTTCATGTCGTTAGCCTACCTTGTTCTTGGACTGTTATGGTTCATGAGATTTGTTCAACACTGGAAAGATATAATTCAGCTGCATTATCAAATAACGGCTGTTATTGGGCTCGGAATGTGTGAGATGGCCTTTTGGTACTATGAGTACGCGAATTTCAACTCGACTGGAAGTAGACCTATTGGGATCACGCTTTGGGCAGTTACTTTTAGCGCGATTAAGAAAACATTATCTCGACTTCTTCTGCTTGTGGTCTCGATGGGTTACGGTGTGATGAGGCCAACGTTGGGGGGTATAACTGCAAAAGTGATTCTTCTTGGCGTGTTGTATTTTTTGGCATCAGAAGCTTTGGAGCTTGTCGAGCATTTGGGGAATATAAACGATTTTGCGGGGAAAGCTAGGCTCTTTTTGGTTCTGCCGGTGGCGCTTTTGGATGCGTGCTTTATCGTTTGGATCTTTTCGTCGTTATCCAAAACACTGGAGAAGCTTCAGGTAATTTCACCGTTTTATGGCAAGATTGCACTTTTAGTCTTGCTGGTTTGACCCCATAGCAATTTTAATCCCAAAGTTCCAACATTTCACCTTTTGGTCCTTGATTTCATATTTTGCTGCAATTGTAGTCCTTTCAGGGCTGAAATTGCAACAAATTTCCGAATTCCCAGATTTTCGATTAGCAATTTAAGTCGTGTAATTTAAAATTTTGTTGCAATTTCAGTTCTCGAAGGATTGAAATTGCAGCAAAATATTAAATCACATGACCAAAAGGTAAAATTGCAATGGCGTCAAACCAACAGGACTAAAAATGCATTTTTGCCCCATTTTTTTTATACTTTTTGACGAGCTTTTTGTTCATTGTGGAGCTTTTTATTTTCTGTTTTTGGAATTAGATACGGAGAAGCATGGCAAAACTCGAGCTTTACCGAAAATTCACCAATGCTCTGGCTGTTTCTGTTCTACTTTCAGTTGCTTGGATCGGATATGAGGTTAGTTTACTCCGACTTAAAAAGCCCTCTAAAGTGTTTATATGTCACAAACCATTAAGAAATTAATTTGGGTCATGGTTGTCAAATTCTTCACATTGAAATGCAAATTGACTTGCCCTTTACATAAACTCAAATATGATGCAGACACCATAATAATTCACTAGAATAGAATAAAATAAAATAAAATAAAATACTTGTGACTGCTTATTTTTTGTTTGTTCAGTTGTATTTCAATGCCAGTGATCCCCTAAGCGAATTATGGCGAAGAGCGTGGATAATCCCAGCTTTTTGGACTTTGCTTGCCTTTATATTATTGGTGGTTATATGCATCCTGTTGGCTCCTTCTGATAATCCTACTCGGTAATTATTATTATTTTTTATTTATTGGTGTTTCTAATGAGTCGAATTTGAGAACAGTATTTTAAATCCAGTGAAAAATTACTTACACCCTATAGTAGTAGAAGTTTATTGATAAAATTTTGAAAAACGAGTCGTGTTCACAATCGTAGGTATGCATATGAAACTGGTGATGATGATGAAGAGGGTTTATCACTAACTGGGGCAGGCGTTATAGTGACGGGCGATTTGAAAGAAAGGAAGGTTTCGATTTCATCAGATCATGTGTTTGGTTTAGTCGAGGATTTAGAAGAGGACAAAAGAGAATAATTTTCATGCATATTTTACGGTCCTAACTTGAATGCTACTCGATCTGCACATAGTCGAGTTTCTTTCAAGATCCTTCTTTTGTAGCTTTTCCTCTTTTTTCTTTACCCTCTGTAAACAAGAATACACATTGGGATTATAGAACTTAATAATAGACTTGGCTGGAATCAGAATTTAGCCCCTTCTGTTCTGCTATTATCATTCAGAATATTATAGGTTGCATATATTGTCATAGATGATTATTGATAAGACTGTTGGTAGGCATGCTAGTTAAACAAATATACTTCATGCTTATTACATTTTAATTAAGTGCAATCATGCAAAATATTTGGCAAACAAACACAATTATGTACAATAAAGTGGTCCACAAGGAAAAGGAGAAAGAAAATCAAAAGCTGTTATAATGGTTTACTAAGCATGACAGATCCTAAATTACTAGCCTGATGTGTAAATAAAGATTTGGAAGGGTTTAATAATGATTATATACAGACCCAACTTCAGGGCAAAAAAAGTAAAAAAAAAAACAACTCAGGGAATTTATAATAGCATTAAAACATAAATAAAATACTTCATAGGATGATGATTTGGTTGGATAGGGTGATTTATGAGAGCCAACTCTCAACAATCATTGTCTGAAATTGTCTCATTTTAGGCAAGGGAGAAATGTTTTAGTCATTCATTAAATTTTCAATTTTAATATATTATTTTTACTTTTTTGTTATATATTTTTTATAATATAAGGTAAGAGTTATGATAGAAACATATATTGATGTGAGAATTGTATATAATGCTATTTTTAATTGTGTTTGATGTTATTTTAATTTCATGTAGTGCTATCATTTGCACTATAATGCTATTTTTAATTGTGTTTGATATTATTTTAATTTCATATAGTGCTATCATTTACATATCTGCTATAATTATTATTTATATTTAGTGGTGTTATATTAAAAACATCTAATTAGAAGTACCACCATACACAATAAATCATCGCAATACAAATAGTTAAAAATAGCATTATCACAATTCATACATTATGGGTTGGTTGTATTTCAACCACATCCTTAAAATATATATTAAGAGTTGAAGATATTTTTTTTAACAAGTATTAAGAAATATACATTTGATGTGTAGATTTAGCCTTATAATATATATGATGACATGCCAACATAAATTGCGGAATTAAAGTAGACTTAAATTTAAATCTGATACAATATTATAATATTTTATTTCTTTGAATATTTCGTATCAAATGATTCTGTCTAGTGTAAATTGCTCTTCTAAGCCTCTCGCCCCTTTCCCAAAATTTCCCCTCTCTAACCCTAGCTTAATTCGCCGGAAATCTGCGCCTCTCTCGGCGTCCATCCGGCTTGCCGGTGGATTGCCCACCATCGAGCAACCATTCCGCTGTTCGTGGCACTTCGACCTCCCTCTCAATGGCTCTGGGCTGTGGAAGCAGACCTTCGGCGGTCTTGTCGCGATTTGGTCGATTTGCGATTGAACCGCCGGAGACCCAGGGTGGAGAGGCTAGGTGGAGTGCTGCTCCAGTGGCTGGGTGCGGCTCTGTAGCTGCGTCGTCCCTGCTCAAGTTTCCCCTCTTTCAGGCTCTGTCGACAGCCCCAGTTTTCTTCTCGGCTCGCCGTGCGCAGGCGTCTTGGTGTGGCAGCGGGAGAGCTGTGGTCCGTCCTTGGTGGCTTGGTGGGGTGAACGGGTTCAACCTTTGGACGGAGCATCCCTTATTGCCGGGCTGGCGGGTCATCCTGGACGCGGGTCTACGGTTTTGGCCGGAGTCGGGTCGGGATTTGGCCTTGTGGTTTGGGTGGATATGTGTTTGTTTCGGGCTGGTTTGTTCCTCTGGGCTGGGTCAGAGCGGCGGAGCTCTGATGTCGTTCGACTCCTTCCTCCTCTTTCCCAGTTTCTGTGTTTGTGGGAGGCCGTCTATTTCCGGATTGGCTAGTGGTGTTAGGCGATCTCGGGATGGTTCGGATTGGCTAGTGGTGTTAGCCGGTTGGGGGGCGATTGTGACTTCTTGCGGTTGGTGTGCGGGTCAATTCTTCGGTTTGTTCTGTGGTTTGAATCTTCGTCTTGCTAGGCCTTCTGCAGTGGCGGGCGAGGTATCTGAGCTTCGGAGCTCTCCTCGGAATTGATTTTGTCTGCTGTTTTGTTCGGATGCTTCTGCTGAGGGAGGACATATGTTTTTCTTAGTTTGTATCTTCGTTTTTTTTGTGTGTTGTGTTGTCTGTTCGTGTATTGTGTTACCTGTGTTTAGATTGTGTTTTTAGTTTGTGTTTTGGTTTGGGCAGTTAGCCCCTGTGAACCCGAGTATCACCTTATTATCCCATTGGGATCCGATACTCGGGTATTACTCCGTTGGGGTCATTTTAGTTGTTGTTTTTTTTGTTTTAGTTGGTTAGTTTGTGTTGCGAGTTTTATTCTAGCGTTGCTAGCGGGACTCTAGGCGGTCTTCTGACCTGTCCTCCCACTTTTTCAGTTGTTGACTGCTGTATATTCAGTCGTTGACTGCTGTATATTCGCACATTTGTGCTTTTTGATTTATAATATTATCTATCGTTTTGGGAAAAAAANCTCACTCACTCAGTCACTCTTACTTCTTTACATTATTCAGGTGACATAACTGAAAACATTCAGTTAGTTTTATTTTTTTAATTAAATGTTGAGTTGGAATTGACACGTGAGATTCATTAGGCCACAACATAAGCTAGATCAAATCTATACTTATATAATAAGAATTAACATTTATCCAAAATAGTAGGTCAAATTATGGTCAATGTCGGATTTGCATTAAATATTTTCCAAAACCGGTAAGTTTTTGTCCTTTTCACACTTCTCATTAATTATATCCTTTTCACACTTCTCATTAATTATGTCATTTTCACACTTCTCATTAATTCATTAATTACGACATAATTATCATAAATCATTCCATCTGAATTTTTATCGTTAAAATGTGTAGCGATATGTTACCTTATCCCATTGATATTTCCATGAAGCGTCCTTATCGCGTTATATTTTTTGGTAACCACTCTATCAATAACCGGATATTTGGGTAATGATAGCACACGTTTTTATTTCAAGGAGCGGATATTCTTTGACCTTTAATTAATTTAAACTGATTTCCTTGACTTTTCAATTTTTAAAAACACTTTTTTTAAATATTTCGGCTTAAGATTCGGATTTCATTATACAAGTCATCGGATTGTTTGAATGAAAATGAATGAAAAGAACACCAAACACAGGTAGCCTTATTCATATAACCAATCCTAAAATATTAGTTTGTTCACCAAAAAGAGACAAATCCTAGAAATCCTAAAATATTAGTTTGTTCACCAATCCTAAAATATTAGTTTGTTCACCAAAAATATTAGTTTGATTTTTAGGATTTGTCTCTTTTGAAAATATTAGTTTGTGATAATGAGGAGTTACCAAATAATCAAACTCATAATGTTGTGTACAAGGAGGTTTTAATAATATATGATTGTTACCGAACTTTTTATGATTCAACAATGTTCCTATGTATTTTAATTATTTCCATTTCAATCCTAATGCACGTGAGATTATATTATTCTTCCAAATTTTACATCTTGTGCATCGCATGGGTTACGTACTAGTCAGAAATAATGCCACCTCATGTCCACACCGTAACATTTCTTTCTTACATACAAGATAAAGTTCAAAACAATCATACATAATAAAAACCAAAATTACATTTTTCTCATATTTTGCTCCTAAAAAGAACTATCTGAATGGCCCAAAATGCCAGGCTATTGCACACAACACAACGCGCATCCAACACGCCTATAGTGACATAATTTTATTTTATTTATTTTTTATGGAATATTCTTTCACACACCACAAATAAATAAATCAAAGAAACTCCTCCCTATTATGTGCTCTATTTCATATGAAACCTCCAAGAATTTAACAAAAAGTCCTATCAAGGTACGTAAGTAGTGAAATAAATTATTCCATTCAATTTTTTTCAACAATTATATTTTGTTCACAAAGAAATTATTTTGATATGTATGATATATGATCAAGAATTGAATTCAAGACTCCTCCAAACTTTAGACATGGTAATTATAAAATTGCCATTATGTTATAATTTTTTGCTCATTTTTTTTTATTTTACTTTTTTTTCTCAGGTTTGTGAAAATGGGACGTGAAGGTCCTTCTGATGAGCCGTTAATGGCGGATTTTTGCTGCCATTGTTTTGTGATTGTTTCAGTATTAAGGGTTACAAAGAGATGTTTGTTTGTTGCTTGTTACCCCATTTTGCAGTGTTTTGGATTGGATGAGTGCAGGCATAACCATCATCATCACCACAACAAGCATTTCTANTTTGGTTAACTAGAGCTAATTTTGAAAATAAGTTGAACTAGTTTTGAGTGGGATTTTGAGTTCTAATTAAAATAATATTAAAAATAAAATAATCAAATGTGATATGATGTAAAGGTAAGAGAGAGGTGATTGAAAGTGGTAGGTAGTTAAAATTATGTGAGTGAATTAAATTTGATGTGATGTATAAAAATGATTGGTTGATATTAATTAATTATATTGAAAATGTTTCGGAGAGTTAGAGTTGAATTAAATTTGAGTTAGTGATGAAAAAAAATTCAATCAAAATTTATGTCCAAGCACCACCAAGTGTTCAAACTGTCTTCTAAGAAAATTAGCCAAATCAAACGGCCATATTTTTTTCTATATATATGCATATTTTCAAATTTAAGTGACATAGAAAAATAATAAAAACTAAAATACAACACAGCATAAACAGGATGTGGATTGAAAAAACATGCATCAATATATTTAATCGACTCCAGAAGAGAACCAACTAAATAAAAAGAGTGACTCCATAGAAACCATCCATTAGTCCCACAGAACACTTACCGTGAGAAGTTTTAATTTTGTTGTAAAATAATAATAATAATCCCTTCCACTCAAGCTATACATTTTTAATTTATCTTTTAATCAGAATTTTATTTATTTAAACAAGTTTCACTAACACTTGGAAAAATTCAATCTCGACCTCACATAGTTCCAAAGAGTCATCACAAATTCACAGTAATCAACAATGAAAATTAGAAATAACTTTTTGGCCCTTCACAGTCGATGGATATTACATTACATTCCTTCAGGACTCCAAACTTTAACAAAATTTGCGAGCAAGTTTCGAGATATATAAAATTTGCACGTTCACAACATTGCTCGAGTATTTCGAGTCTTGTGGACCCCACAAGAAACGTAAACTCGGTTCATCATTTGATGCTTGCATTTGGAAGAGAAGAAGTGCAAGGTCCTGAGGAAGTCATAAAAGGGACACCTTTGAATGTGGCAACACCTTTATCATCGGTGAAAAGATTCTGAAAAACCCAAACGAACTTCACAAAGTTAAAAACTAAAGCTCGTGGAGAAAAAAAAAATCACGACATTTATTCTGTAGCAATCAAGAATTGACTTTAAAGAGCCTTAGCACGAGAAATGAATATTTAAAAAGTGGCAATCAGTAAGTAAAGAGAGATTACATACCGGGGTTATTTTATCCAATTGCTTCTTTTTGGGGTTTAAAACCTCTTCTGGCTTGCCATCATGTCTAGAGAAGGAAATCAATTGAAAAAAAAAATGGCGGTTGATTAGACTAACAATTTCATGTTTAAGCAGAGTAACAAATAGACAAAAACGGGTCTCGAGTAGAGGCACAATGTTTTTAATAACAGAAGACATTACCCAGAAAACGTAACACATTCCCCAACTTTAGCACCATCTGGAGCAAGTAGAGGCTCAACAATTGTATGGTCTTTATTCGAAGCACATAACACCTGTATTTCAATTTTCAAGCCACAAAAGGAAAAGTCAATGTTGCCTTTTCCAGTAATTAAGAAAATAATAGGTTTTATTATTTTATGAACAATGATTATGATACGCATGGTGTATAGAACATAGTTTGAGGTCAATATTGTGATGCATAGCATTAACTGAGTAGCAAAATAAAGAAACTAACATTAACTCCACAAAGATTGTGAAAAAAAAAAAAAAATTACCAGTCCCTCTGACATCACGTCTCGTAACTTCCCAGGTTTCACGTTTGTTATAAGTACCACTCGGCGGTTCTGAGGAGCAATATGGGACAGAAAATTGAACAAGGCCTCAACAATATTACACAGCAATAAACAATTTTAATATACAATTTATAATCCAAAACAATTTACTATTTTCCTACCGTTAGTTCTTCTGGAGTGCAAAACTTGGCTAGACCACTAACCACTTGCCTGCATTTTGCTTCTCCAACATCTATCTCCTCAACCAACAAACTGAATTGCCGGAAAAAAAAAGGAGAAGGAAAAATTCGTTCAGCTATGTTGTAACTAACCAATGAATCTTCTCGAACATAATAACACTATACAGTATTACTAAAAAATAAAAACAAAGAAAACGGCGAAAACAATCATCAGCAGAATCAAACTGCAATAAAATGTAGTGTTTTAAGACAGACAATTGTTTTCCTTAAGAACAGGATTTTCATGAAGAAGAAAAACGGCTTCTAAATGGATGCAGCTCAGAGAAAATCTTACAAGTAGAAACACGAAGGAATAAAAGATCAACTTCTGAAAAACAAATAATCAAGTCAATCACCTGTCAGCTGATGGATGTTTCCATGCTTTGCGAATATGACCAATCTGTATCTTAAGCAAACTAACGCTAAGTGCTTCTTCTTTACTCTCTGCCACTTTTTCAGTACCTTTCTTCTTCTCTGCAGTAGATTGACTCTCTTCAACTTTCTTCTTTTGCTTTGTTTCAGAAATAAAGCAGCAACGTAAATGTTAGTATATTTCTTTTTATTAATTTAACAAGGGTAACTTGAATAAAAAGATGATTCATGTATAATATATCTACCAAGAAACACACATTTGCAAATTTGAAGAGCTGGAAATGTGAAGTCCAATACGAATCAAGATATGGTTCAGATAATTCTGATGTAAAATAAAAGTTGTACGCAAATCACCTCCGCCATTCCGTGTTTTAGAGCTATATTTTTCAATTTCCGTATTTATCAACAATGGAGCAAAACTTACGGCGTCAGCACTCTTCTTTCCTTTAGAGTCTGATCCTGAAGTACCAGCCTCTTTTGCATTTTGGACAATTTTCTTTGCACTGGGATCTTCTACCTTCTTCACAGACTTCGATACCTGGAAAATAAACCCACAAGTAACAAAATCTAAGCTTACATTTGTTTTCAACACATACTTGTCCATAGCCTCATCATATCAGTATAGAAAACAAAAGCAACCAAAAATGCTTCCATCGTAATATTATACGAGCCAAAAATTTATATGTTCATACATATTTTCCACATCTAATCAAAATTAATATAAATCAAATACACGTGTACTGTAAAAATAAAATAAAATAAAATAAAATAACATAAATAATTTTAACAGATGGTACCAACTCATTTCTTCCCTCAAAAAAGAAAAAGCCATTTTATGCTAGACCCCTCAGTGACATCCTGCAAACTTGACTAACACCATATCGCATGTTTGTGTCCTAAACAAGTAGGTATTCAACTACGAATACCAATTTTGAGTCTATAAGAAAGTTAGCACTCAAGGATATCCCTCTAGGGAAACAACACAAACACAAGAATCAAGTTAAGTGCAGATATAGCAGGAATTACTCACTGGAGCGACAAATTGAGCCTTCTCATGCACAATCTTCTCGAAAATTTCTCCAAAATCCTTCTTGTTCTGCACTCGTAACAAAGAAAGGTTCAACAGCACATATATGCATGAAAAGCATACTTTACTGCAGAAACACCCAATCCTTAAAATGGTAGTCAAACTTGAACCATATCTATTGAACACCATAGAGTAGCTATGTGCTACTAAAAAGTAAATAAAACGAAAGGAGAAAAAGGACAGAAAAGTAAATGAAAAGCAATAATATCCAAGGAATGTGAAATCAATTAAGGCCCAAAACCTGAAGGTAAAACATTTACTCAGGCGTACAATGTTCGAGCACCATTACTTAGGTTGTCATCCAACTATTGTGACACAAATTGAGTCTCAGCAAGTCACCCGCTACTAAACCATTATGCCAAACAAGTTTTTATTTTTTTCATTTGCTAGAAGACAATAATGAAGAGAGGATATTTTCCAGAGTTCCACATGAAATGGAACTGTTATGGATAAAAAGAAAACGTACAATGATAGAAAATAAGAACATCTATGTTCGCAAATCATACACTTCTTACCTGGACGTAATCAGCCCATCTGAACAAATGTGGCAATTTGCCTTTATCTGCACTTGAAAGACCAATCTGAAAGCAAACAATGATGGTACAATAGTTAAAGCATTACACCAAATGAAAACGCACACACATTTTCCTCAAACAACCAAGTAAATAATTAGCCATAGTTTAGCCCACCAGGTAAATGTATGGTAGTTCTCAAGCAACATTTCACATCCCTGCTCAGTAGTTAATAATGTGAAGTATTGCAATCAATCTACCAATTACTAACACACCACTCAAATGCTATGTATAAACAGAGCCACTCCAACATCATCCAATACATACAATTATATATATTTGCACTATCAACCAGAATTATAACAAT